CTTGGACCTCCCCACTGGGCTGGCACCAGCTGCTGACACCCCTGGGACAGTGGGACAGCCCTTCCCTTGTCCCCTCTGGGACCCCATGTCCCCCACTCTGAGCATCCCTGGGGCTGGGCACATGGCTGGGGGTTCTGGAGGGCAGAGGGTGAGCTGGGCATTCTCAGGGCCCTGGTGGTGCTGGTTCTGGAGTGCAGCACACCACAACACCCCGTTGCACCCAGCCTGGGGTGCTGGTGTGGAGAGGAGAGACATGTCATGGGTTTTGGGGGGGTTGTAGGCTTGGCCCCCCTCATCCCTGTGGCCAGTGTGGAGTGGCTGAGCCCTGTCTGGCTCATTCCACTTGTGGATGGGGCTGGTTTGCACCCCCAAACCAGTGTCCCCACACCTTGTGCTAGTCTCATCCTGGCTCTGCTCATCTCCTGAGGGCCAGTGGCTCCGTGGCACAGATAAGGTCTGGCTGCTCCGAGCCCTGGGTAGCTGTGTGCCTCAGTGTCCCTTGTCCCTCGCAGAGCTGCCACCCTCTGAGTTCATGCAGGTGGCAGACTCCACGTGGCTGGTGCTCAGCGTTGTGTCCAACGGGCGGGAGCCCACAGGCTGCCAGGCCACCGGGGTCACCAAGATCGCGCGGTCGGTCATTGCGCCGCTGGCCGAGCACCACGTCTCAGTCCTGATGCTCTCCACATACCAGACTGACTTCATCCTGGTGAGTGACAGAGATGGTGGCACCTGGTCCCACTAAGGTGTGGGCTGTCCCAAGGATCCTGCTGTCCCCTGCAGGGAAAGGTGTTGGTCCCGGCCCTGACCCTGTGCCCCCGGGCAGGTGCGGGAGCGGGACCTGCCGGTGGTGATCCACACGCTGGCAGGGGAGTTCGACATCTACAAAGAGGAGAGCGGCGAGTGCATCCCTGTCACCTGTGATGATGTGAGCAACGGCTTCCTCAAGCCCAAGCCAGGTGAATGACACTGGGGCTCATGTCCCTCAGGGCCACCGAGTCTCTGCCCAGATGCTCCAGCTCCTGCAGGAGCTACCTGCATCTTTCTGGGACCCTCAGGGCCACTCTGTCCCCAGAACCATCCAGTCCCTGTCAAGGTGCTCCTGCTCCCACTGGTGGTACCCATGTCTTTAGAGGAGCCCCAAGACCACCCTGTCCCCAGGGCTACCCTGCCGAGATGATCCAGTTGCCACTGGTAGTACCTGCATACCTGGGGGACCCTTAGGGCCACCCAGTCCCTGCCAAGATGCTCCACCTCCTACTGGAGCCTACATATGGTACCCACATATTTGAGGGATCTTCGGGGCCACCTTGTCCTCAGGGCTGCACAGTCCCCACCAAGATGCTACAGATCCCACCAGTGGTACCTCCTTGAGGGGCCCCCAGGTCCACCCAGTTCCCACTGAGATGCTCAATCTCCCACCAGTGGTATCATATCCTTGAAGAACCTCTAGGGCCACCCTGTCCCCAGGGCCATACAGCCCCTGCTGAGATACTCCAGCTCCCACCAGTGGTCCCCGCATTTTTAGAGGGTTCCCAGGGCCACCTTGTCCCCGGGCCGAGATGCTTCAGCTCCCACCGGTGGTACTTGCATCCCTGGGGACCCCCGTGGCCACCCCTGTGCTCCCCGAGGGACTCGGGCTGTGGGTGCGGGGCACTGCGGCTCTGTCCCGGAGCTGTCCCTGGCTCTGACGGGTGGCTGTTCCCCTGCCAGCCGCCAGCCCCACGCTGCACCCCGTGCAGAGCCCCCAGACCCGCTTCTGTGTCCTGACGGTGGCCCCCGACACGCTGCCTGCCATTGCCACCATGCTCATCGACGTCCTCTTCTACTCCCACAGGTGGGTCCTGGGGACAGGGACGCGGGGGTGGCCCCTCGCCTGGTGCCACCTGAGCTGCAGTGCTGTGTCCCTGACATTGCTCCCAATGGGGTGTGTTTTCCAGACTGGTTTTCCCCTCCCAGGGGCTGCTGCCATGTGGGGGCTGAGGGTCCCACTGCCACTGTTGGGGTTGGGAGACTTGAGGTGACACAAGGGACAAACCCACCGTTGCAGCCCTGGAGAGGGCACTGCAAAGCAGGAGGGAGTGGGTTTGGAAAGTCCAGTGGGAGTGGTGCTGCGGTGAGGGGATGCTCCTGACTGGGTCCTCCCTTGTTCCCCATGGTGGTACCATCCTACTCCGGAGTCACTGTGGCCTTTTGGGAATACCCCAAAACCTGGAGTCACCCCTGTTCTGCCTGCAACCAGCACCCACAAGATGCAGACTCTGTGGGGAGCACCTGCAGTCCCTCTCACCCTGCATCATCCCAATGCGATGCTCACACACCCAGTGCCACCACCAAGCCCTTCTCCTCCCCATTTCGGGGGCTGTGACCCCTCCCCTGTCTCTTGCCCCTGTAGCCCCCCGCGGGAGGCAGGCGCCAGCAGCCAGGACCTCGACTCCATCACCTTCTTCTCCTTCTCCCTCATCGAGGGCTATATCTCCATTGTGATGGATGCTGAGACCCAGAAGCGGTAGGTGCCATCCCTGGGGCTGTGTGCCCCTCTGTCCCTGGGTCTGGGGGCTCGGAGAGGAGGTGGCACTCAGACTCCCTCCCTCAGGTTCCCCAGTGACCTGCTGCTGACCAGCTCGACGGGGGAGCTGTGGCGGATGGTGCGGATCGGGGGACAGCCCCTCGGCTTCGGTGAGAGTGGCCGCAATGGCTGTGTCCCCTCTTGTGCTACCACCACTTGGGGTGCTGTGGGACACTGCTGTCCCCTTATGTCCCCGTGGCAGTGACCTGGGACCCCCTTTGCCCTCCTTCCCCCAGATGAGTGTGGCATCGTGGCACAGATCGCAGAGCCGCTGGCTGCTGCCGACATCTCAGCCTATTACATCAGCACCTTCAACTTCGATCACGCCTTGGTGAGCCCCTGCCCGTCCCCAGGGACCCACTGCCACCCTCGGGGTATCCCCTGGGGTGACACCCGCTCTGTTCTCTGGCAGG